TCAGCTACGCGGTTTAGTCGAGCGCGGTTTAGTCGAACGCGGTTTTGTGGTGGAATCCCTTTGAAAGACTGTTTGCCAGGCCTTGCTGAATGCTGAATGAGAGGAATTCACATTTGTTTAATAAAAAGGGTTTGGTTGGGACCAGGACTTTGCCTTGTGCTCTTTGGGGAAGCCTAGATCAGAAGTGAGGAGAAAGAGGTACCCTGTTCTAGCAAGGAAGACAGCTAACCCACCCAAACAACCAAACCCCATTATCTGAATGAATCTACTGTCCATCTTTAATTCTTGTTTCCAAATGCTGAGTCAGATGCACTAAGGATCTCCTGCTCACTCTTGGATATAGCTGTATTCTCTTTTTTATATAAGCAACACCTCTAGGATTATGTACAAGCTATCCATGGAAAACTTACAGTCTGTTCACTTGAATTCTTTAGCTTGTTTTTCTTTTCATCTGAAACAGGTCAGTGCCCTTGCATCTTCCCACCTGGGCCATGGGATTTGTGTGCTGGTGGGGGCACCTCCTTCAAAATCACAGCTCTCTTTTGACCCTGCTCTCCTGCTCACCGGAAGGAAACTAGTAGGCTGCCTGATTGGAGGTACGCATTGGCTATTGTGGGTCATAAGATACTTCTAACCAGTATGTGTAAGTGATTCATTTTTCAAATGAAGATACTGTATATCGGGTGGGTTACTACTAGTAGCACTGTTGGTTAGGTGCGCATTTGCACCTAAAAAGCTCTGCACGTGCGCACAATGTTAAAGGGGGGGGGGAGTAAATTTTTGCAATGAAGATTGTTCTGCGCATGCACAGAACAGAAAATAAAGATGGCAGTGCCGATGATAGAACCAGTTCACGAGCATGGCAGGCCGAGTTACTATCTACTCGGCCGAACCTGGCCGAATCGGTAGGAACCCACCTCTGCCGTATATAGTTTCAGATTGGTCCAGCTTGTTATAAAACTATATAAAGTTGTCTTGACTTTTGTAAAAAATTCTATCTACTATCTGCTTCGTTTCAGCCTCTGAATTGTCTCCATTTTCCATTGCTGAATTTAAGCAGAGAGTAGGAGGCTTTGGTTAGGAATGCTGTTTTGGTCAAGATTCTCAATATCTTATGAATGGAATGGAATGGAATGAATAGAATAGAATAGAATAGAATAGAATAGAATAGAATAGAATNCGTTCCAACCGAACCGGTTGGAACGGGGCGAGAAACCCACCCCTGATACAGATCCACATATTTCTAAGCAGTGCAAACCAAATTCCCGTGCACGTATTTAGAATAAAATTCCAAAATAAATCACCCACCTCCTCACCGGTCTTTTCTCTACCCAGAGCGTATTGCCTTTCAGATTCAATAAATCGGATTGGAATGTTATATACTCTTTTGTTATAAAACACAACCAGTGTATATGGCTGCTTAGAATCTTGTCCGGAACTCTTCCTTACTAAGAAAGACCCATCCTGAAAAAAAAAGAGTGAAAAGTATGAATTTCAAGGGCTAATGAGAAGAAAAAGTGTTAAAATTTAAAAGTTAAATTTTCTGAATCCTTTTTTTTTCTTTTCTGATATCTTAATTGATAAAAAAAGAAAAGGGGTTTTGGAATTTTTGACTTTTACAATCCCACAGCCTGCTCCTCTTTTTAGATGTACATAGAGAATTATATAGGAATATGAACTGTATTCCTTCTGCACTGATTTCAGGGATTCTACTGTTACAAAGCTTATTTCTACAATTCTTTACATTAAAGCTTTAAATCAAGAAACAGTTTTCAGAGCAAAGCAGATGTTCCCAAAATTGGATTTTTTTCTTGAATCACAGTGACCTTTTGTTTCAAATATATTTTTTTAATGGAGCCCTTAGGTCTAAAGAAATACCTAATGTTAAGTAGTTAAGTAGTCCAAATTTAAAATATTCCACAGCATCCCTGTTCTGGCAGCCTGGATGCTAGGATAATTTCTGTGGACTGCACCTGTATATTGACTAAAACAATCCAGTTTACAACGAACATCTGCCTGTTCCTTAAAGGATATGTAATCCCAAATATTTAGTCTCCTTTATTACACTTAGCTGAATCTTATGCAACACTGCTTTTCTGGTCCCCTCACATTTATACTAATAATATTTCAGTGAATTTTCGCCATAATGAACACTCCTTGTCATTATGAAGAAGTGCATAAAGTTGTTTTGTAACAGCCAGAAATAAAGGAGCCGAGGTGGCGCAGTGGTTAGGGTGCAGTACTGCAGGACACTTCAGCTGACTGTTATCTGCAGTTCGGCGGTTCAAATCTCACCAGGCTCAAGGTTGACTCAGCCTTCCATCCTTCCGAGGTGGGTGAAATGA